TTCTCCGTAAGTCAGTAACTGCTTCTTTATTTCCAGTGAAAAGTTTTCTGTGGCAAAATTTAAAAAAAAATAAAATGTGGAGATGCTATTGGCACCTAGATTGGCACGCATTAAAATACCTATACTCATGTTGTATTATTGAATCAAACAATAGTCTCTTAGTTCCGAAATTTGATTCTTGATTACGGTGTGATCGATGCAATTTAAATTATAATGTATGATAGGTCACATCATTTAGTCATATTGTTATGACGATATGATTAAACGAAACTCTAGATAGATAAATTTTCTGGCGAACTAAACAAATGATTTACGTTTGTTAATTAGGTTTGAAGTATGAGTTTTGTTTAAATAAATAATTATAAAATTAAAACGTTACATTACTATAAATATTGAGAAACAAATTATGAACATCGTATATAAGTAGGTACATAATATTCATAAATGATAGTGTGTTTATGCAAGGATATGCGTAGGTATTTATAACAAATGTGGTAGATTCTAGTGTTTTTAGTTGGATAACCAATTTTTAAAATTCTTGAATATCTTACAGGTGAATTAAATAGGATAACATTTATATAAATTTACCACGCCTAAAAAACCCGAAAATTTTATGCTTGGCGTAATCGGGTTTGGATGTATTAACATAACAAAAAAGACTTTACAAATTAGAGCTCCCTAAGATATGATACGAATGGTTTGCTCTGTCGACTTCAAATTCCTCTCTTTGTATTTGACGTTGCTGAAGTTCTCAAAGCTATTTTATATTCTATTTGAAAACTGTCATCAGCAAGCACAAGGTAATTCGTCAACGTATACTTTACTCGAGTTTCAAATGGACATGTCACCTGCCGCACTTAGCTTCTAATTTACGTTAAACGTGTTTCCTAAAAATACCAAAACTTTTCTTGTTTGAATTGTGAAACCGAACGCTGACTTAAATTAGAAACAAAGGAAAAGTTAACAGCAAGAAGTGTCTTATTTCTCTAGGACAAAGAAGCGTGTAGGTAGATTGGATAGTTTTTTTATCGTATTCTTCTGTAATCCTAATCATGGATATCGAATAACACCCTAAATATTTCCTTTCAGGTATAAGACCGTAGTTTATATTGTTACCGATATTTTTTATACGTGGCATTTTCGTCGAATGGTTGCTACCGGGATAAACCCTACAGAAACATTTTAATAAGTGTATTATTAGAGAACCAATAACCCTTTTGACAATTTCATTTTTACTTGGACGTTTGAATAAACTGTAACAGGTTGGTAAAGGTAAAGGCAAGGAAAGAAAATGCATTATTATTCCTGGGACAATTCCCTTTCATAATCAGTTAATGGTTGCCCTTAAAAACTAACGTGTGGTTATTCTAATAATAATGATTTATTGTCATATTGTTTTATACATCCAATTACAGAACAATTACAGAAATTAAAATATGGCATGATTGAAAAATAAACATAATATACTATAAATTGATTATCCAAAAAAAATAAAGAGATATTTAAATGTAAGGAGACATATATATCTACGAAATGACAAACCAATTAAAGATTTCTTTCTTAGGTATAGGCGTACATATTAATGTAATAGATGAATTACATCTGATAATGAGCAGATATTTAAATCACATTGTGTGCATAGGGTGCAATAGGGTAGGTAAGGTAGTGCATGTCCCTTGCACCGCAGTTACGCAGTTTATTCTTTCAACTTCCAAAGCCACTATTTCTCTGGGAAATAATTTACAACAGCTAAAGTTACTCAAATATAAAATGTCTATACAATTCCCATTTTACCTATCTCTGCGAAAAGATGAAAAATGTAAATCCACAATTATATCTAGCAATACCTACACCTGGTCCATACGTCACTTGCCTTATTAGCCCGTTATGTAACTTAAAATTTTCGGGGGTTGCGGAACTAACGCGAAGAGATGAAAAGATCAGTAAATGGAAGGCAAATAGGCAAATGGATCTAATAGGTTTCAGTGGCTCACTAAAGCTTTTCGCTTCATATCTCTCGAACAAATTACAAGTCTCTTATAATGGATATCACTCAAATTTTTTACATTGCTACTTCGGGAGTACCGAAAGGCTCAAATCTAGGACCGCTACTGTTTATTATTTTTGGACAACATTAAAGTCAACATACCGATGTTTGCGAATGATTTTAAAACAGGAATCTCAAATTATAAAATTGAATTGTACCGCATGTCGTATTTTGGTTGAGACTGAGCAGTTTTTAAAGACAGAAATTTGCGGTTTTGGCGACCCTGTGCCACTTTTTTGTGACACCACAAACAGAATCAATCTAGCCACTGTTGTTTCTGAGATACAAGGTGAAAAGTTGAAAACGGAAAGTTGACTTTTGGGGATGATATCGTATCTTATACCATTCATGTTATGATAGAAAAAAGGTAAAAACTGTCTATTTTAGATATTGTTACGTAGAATCCAGTGGCGTAGTCAAAAAAACAATTTCTGTGATTCGACCCAAACTTGGTATTTTTTAAATGCAACAATCCCTTGCAGCCTCCATATAGTGAACCAGGACCACAATTCACAAGAGTTACTGTTCTAGCTTTAGATAAACGAAACGCACCTTTGTACATAATCTCTTACAAGTAATAACAAAGTAATGCGCTGAGCTTGAGGTAAAACTGTCTGAGGATTCCTTAGAATCTAAAGGATCCCTGATTAGACGTTGCCATCTTCACAGATCAGTTCTAAACTTCTAACACTACCTCGAACACTATTCTATTCTATTCTATCAGGGGAGCCTTTACAGGCAGCACTTAGGCTCATCAAAGGCCCATTGTGCTAACCCCCTCTCTAAACAACCAAAGCTTAGAGCCCGTTCCCTTCAATGAAGGATAAGACCCTGTTTAGCCTTAGTTTCCTCACCTCCCTCGGTTCCAAGTAACTGTCACCGAGGAGTTTATGTCTGTCCCTGATCAGAGCGTCACAGTAACAGACTACATGCTCGGTAGTTTCCTCTACCTCACCACAAAACCTGCACGCAGGGTCTTCCACAAGCCCAATATTGTGCAGGTGATAGTTGACCATCCAGTGTCCCGTGAAGACACCGACGATCTTCCTAATCTGACTTCTGTTTAGGTTTAGAAGCTTAGAAGACTCAGATTTGCCAAGAGGCCCTGTTAAAAAGGTCTTGGACTGTCTGAGTCCAGCTGCCTGTTGCCATTGAGCCTGGAATTGACTGGTCGCCCAGTTCTTAATCCTGACCCTGACAACTGAGGGAGCAATTCCAAGGGTGGGCTCAGGCCCGACAAGGACCCCACTACTGCCTTCGCGAGCCAACTCGTCCGCCCTTTCGTTGCCCCCTATTCCAGAGTGCCCCGGCACCCATATCAAGCTTACCCTATTAGACTCACCTAATCTATCTAGGGTTCGCCTACAGTCAAGCATCGTATTCGAGCGGACCCTGTCAGCTGACAGAGCCTTTAACGCCGCCTGACTATCACTACATATGTATATATGCTGGTTACGATAACCTCTACGGAGGTTTTCTTGCGCACAGGTCGTGATGGCTAGCACCTCTGCCTGAAACACAGTACTGTGCTGGCCAAGGGAGAGGCTGATGCCTACTCTCGGCCGGTCACCGTGTATACCCATGCCCGTTCCCTTTTCCGTTAGGGACCCATCGGTAAACCACACGAGCCCCTCAGGTTTGAGGAACGGACGATCTGGGTTCAGCCACTGCTCCCTGTTCGGGAGAATGACTTTATACCTCTTCGGTTCAAGTAGGGTAGCTCGAATCACGTCCCTTCTTGCGAGGAAGGGGTCGGACCTAAGAGTTTCCTCCCAGATCCGCCCGTGTCCGAGACTGCCTCTATCCTTCCACTCACCCCAATCATTTAGTCTTATGGAAGCCCTCCGGGCCTCGGCCTCTACCGATAAGTGTAGAGGTTCAAGTCCCAGAAGAGCCTCCACAGCCAACGTTGGCGTGGTTTTCATGGCTCCAGTGATTCCCAAACAAGCGAGTCGCTGTACCTTACTCAGCTGCTTCTTGTATGTTACCCTGCGCGTTGCAGGCCACCATACAAGTGCGCCGTACAATATTATCGGCCTTATCACCGAAGTGTAAAGCCAATATACTAGTCGAGGATTTAATCCCCATGTGCAGCCGAAAGCTCTCCTGCATGCCCATAGACATGCAGTGGCCTTCTTGCTAATTCGCTCAATGTGCCCTTTCCAGGACAGACGGGAGTCTATAGTGACCCCCAAATATTTAACTGACCTGGTCAGACACAATTGGCGTCCTCGAAGGATGAGACCGTCAAGGTCCACATTCCGTCTCCTCGTAAATGGAACAATTTCGGTCTTTTCCGGGTTGACAGAGAGACCGTGGCTACTGCACCATCTATCCACCTGTCCAAGAGCCTCTGCATGAGCTCTTTTACGGTGCTCGGAAACTTCCCCACAATGACAATTGCGAGGTCGTCTGCGTATCCCTGTGTATACGCTCCATCCTCGTTTAGTGTACGAAGGAGCCCGTCTATCACCAGGCACCACAGTAGTGGAGACAGTACTCCACCCTGCGGACATCCTCTAGTGACCGATGAGCTCATCTCCGTAGTTCCGATCGAGGTTATGATGACCCTACCTCCAAGCATGGCCCGGATCCATCTTACGATTGACCCGTCAATGCCAAAGCTTTCAGCAGCCTCACTAATGGAATCGAACGTGGTGTTGTTAAACGCACCTTCGATGTCCAAAAAGGCTCCCAGAGCTACCCCTCCAGCAGACATTCCCCTCTCCAGTCTACACACGAGACTGTGAAGAGCCGTCTCCGTGGACATGCCAGCTCTGTAAGCGTGTTGAAACGGGTGTAGTGGTCTAAGGACCAGCGCCCCGTTTCTTATGTATGCATCCACCAGTTTTTCTACCGCTTTTAAAAGAAACGATGATAGACTGATGGGCCTATAATCCTTTGCTGTGTCGTACTTAGTACGACCCGGCTTAGGTAAATACACAACTCTGACCCTTCTCCAGCTTATGGGGATGTACCCCAAAGCCACAGAGGCCCTAAAGAGGTGCAACAAGTGCAGAAGTAATGGTTCCAGGCCCTTTTGCAAAAGAGCCGGAAATATCCCATCAGGTCCTGCGCTCTTAAATGGGCTAAACGTATTGATAGCCCATCTCAGGGATCCCTCGGTAACAACCCCGGCAGCTACTCTCCAGTCGATCGGCCTTGCACCGACCCGGGTAGCACCTTCTGGCGGTTCCGAAGTTACATAGTCTCCAGAGCCTGGAAAGTGTGTTTCCAGGAGACATGTGAGGGCCTCACCCGCGTTAGATGTAAATCTGCCGCATGGAAGCCTCAGCGTCCCCACTTTTTGCCCTGGATCTTTCAAAAGGATCTTACGAAGTTTTTGAACTTCGGGAAGCCCTTCCATGTTGCCACAGAAAGTCCTCCACGATCCCCGTTTAGACCGTCGAATGTGGTCTTTATACCTGCGCTGTGCGAGTTTGTGATCCTCCCAGTCCGCAGGTAACTTAGTACGCATGGCCCTGTTAAAGAGCCTTCGAACCTCTTTACGAACTTTTTCAAGGTCCGAGTTCCACCAAGGTGTTCTCTTCATTCCCCGAACAGTTCGTAGCTTGCAGCTGTCTTCAAACGACGCCGTTATAGCGTCGCTTATCATTGCCGCCGCCTCTTCCACCTGCCCTGCTTTCCGGCAGAGCAAAGGTGGTTTATCCAACCGTTCTGTCAGTTTTTCAACATAGCAGTCCCAGTTGGTGGTTCGGGGATTCCGAAACCTACAGGGCCCACCATTGAATGACAGGTTTAGTTGGAAAAGAATGTGCCTGTGATCCGAAAGAGACGGTTCATCAGACACTCTCCAGTTTGAGATCATGTGAGCTATAGAGAAAGAGCCCAACGTTAGATCAATGACCTCCTGCCTCCGCGACGTAACGAAGGTGGGGGTTGCTCCCTGATTTAAAACATTCAAATCAGTTGTCTGCAAGTACTCCAGAACGTGTTCGCCCCTCGAGTTCGTGTCCGTGCTGCCCCACACAACGTGATGTGCATTTGCATCACAGCCAACCACAAGAGGGAGCCTTTCACTCCGACAGTGCTCTATCAACTCAGCTAGCTCCCTGCGAACACTACTAAATTCGAAAGTTAAATGAACGTTCTTATGCAAAATTCGCAAAACGTAAACATTTGTGAAAAAGTCCTTGCTTGAAAATGATAATAACAGCCCAAATCCTTTTAGGAATTCACAACAGTTGTAAATTATATGGCACTTCGGTTTCTGTGCTTTGAGATCAAAGCAGCGTGTCATCCTTTCTTTCTTCTAAGTACCTGCCATAAAATACGCGGATTTAGAAATTTCAAGAAAATGTGTCTAGGTATTAGAGATTCTGTTAACCTAGGTGCATAAATGAATTTGCATAAATAGGTGGGCACCGCAAATACCTAGCAAGCATCATAAATCGTTATTGTTGAAAAATCCTGTCTTGGATGGGATTTGACATTTACTTAGTAGCCTAAAATGTCGCATGTCGCAGAACTGAATTTTTTGTCGCAAAAATGGCATAAACCGTAGCCCATCTCCCAATGTGGTAACACTGTCCCGAAGTGCGCCTGAGGATCCTTGCTTTATTGGTTTGTGTAAGCCCCTAATCCTTCACTCAACGGTGTAAGGGATTAGTTTCATACTTACTACAACAAACTACAACCATACATACTACAAACCAATAAACACTTTCTTTTCCAAAGCAGGCAATTTTCAATTGTTGTTTACATAACAGGGTTATGAACTGATAGATTTTATTTAATGAGCGTCATCGTATGCTACGAGGGTTGCGAGTTCAACAAAACTAGGCCTTTTACCCCTAAGTATGTACCTATATACTTGAACGCTAATTTCTCATATTTCATTATCCATGGATTCACATCATTTGTAAACCTAACCTTCATTGTTCAATAAAAGCAACATTGCGACTAATTTCAATTACCCACAGAGGCACATTAAATAAAATTGGCAATTTAGAAAAATTGAAAAGAATTCAAGATCGATTTGTATTTAAAAGCGCCTACCATATGGTGGTGCCATCTTTGAAACTGCGACACTAGGATTAAGTTGGAAATAGAAGGTGACTGTTTTATCACTTCTAATTCCTCTGCATGATGTCAGCACATACAGACATTTTCAAACTTGAATTCATGAAGCATTGACTTCAATCAGTGACAAAGAGAATGAAATTTAATTTATATTAAATGAGCCGAACAGATATCTTCAGTTTAGTAACGTAGGAACAAGTGGAGTGGATGTTCAATGCGAGCAGCATGCATATATATGCATAAAATAAAAAAATAAAAAAAAAAGGAATTAGTGCCTCATAGGTGCTACACGAGATATTGTCGAGTAACTCATGAATTACGTTGAAATTCTGACCATAAATCCCAACTCTGAAAGTGAGTGCTATAGAATTAATTCAATTTGGCCGACCTCGATAGTGGGATGCAGATGTAATCTAATTGATTATATTGAAGGCAGAGAAGTGGACGTAATGGCACCAAACGGTGAATAAATAGTGGGATCGGTTGAGTAATTTGAATCAGTCCCTTTGGATTAGGTATTGACGGAGTTTATTACTCAATATATTAAACCTTTTCGCGCATCAGATTTCATTTCCCCCTAAAAGACTTTCTTTGTGCCCACAGTATGTACGTAATGTTTATTACCTACTTCATCTAAGTACATTGTAAAATTAACATAGATATCTAGATCAAGTTTTTTAATCTTAATGGGCTGTTTGTAATAGGACTGCAATTCAATTATTTACGCTAGACAGCTTCGAAGTACCATATAAGGCAGATAAGGCGCAAATTGAACCAAAATCGGTACCACTTTTCATTCGAGCTACAAGATAAGACAATGTACGGAATCTGGATATTATTAGCAAGACATTGTTTAGTAGGTACTCAGTAACTTTACGCACAATTCAACAATTTCGCCAGAAGTAAGAGTCACTCTGGGTGCTTTGGGCATGTTGTACTGTGTACAGACCAAATTTCAAGTTGTTAGATTATGTTTGTGTTAAAAAATGGAACAACAAATCATCTTTGAATGTCTCGTTAAAATAAAACAGCGCTTTTTTGTGTGGCAGATCAGTATTCTGTTCGCCAGTTTCGAGTCCACTATCAATAGGGCCTTGTGGAAGGCTACCACATTCCTTTTATGGGTACCCACTTCCGACTTCCCGTCCACCCACAATTCGCGTTTAAAGCTGTCACTCCACCATCAGTAACATCTTGGACAATCCAAAATTGGAATAGGGAAGTGGACTAGTTTAAACGGAAAAATTTACGTGTTTCATAACAGCTAAACCTGGCTTTTATGATATTTAGACCAACATTTTTGGTTCTTACTGTAGTTTCAGTTTTATGAGATTGTAATGTCTGTCCGTTCGTACAATCATCATTGAGACAACTACACCAATGTGCAATAATATCGAATAAACAAAAATAATTTAACAAACAAACTTATGAATGACATGCTCATTGCACAGATAAGTTTGTCAATCAAATCTACGCAGATAAAAATAGAATAAAAGCTAATCGTTGGATTAGCAGTGTTTCTGTAAACGTGTAAAGATAATAGAGAAGATAACTACCTACTTACATTTCATTGTTAGTATTAAAAATAAATAGGTAATGTTATCTTCATAATCAAATCAATTTTAACTGCCGCTTTTCGGAGAAGGAGTTATGAAAGATACTGTCCGTGAACCATCAAACTGAGATCTTTCTTTCGCAGCAACTTTAGTGATTTAGCCGAATTGTGGACTTGACGTGCTTATTGATTGTGTCACTCGTGTATCTTATCATGGATCAGAAAAACACTTTTACTTAGCGCCAAAAACAAAGGTATCATTGCGACACGCGTTATAACACGTGTCGAAATGGAAACGATACATATCGATGTTATTTGTTTGTTTTTAGATAACTGTATTGGTACCTATAAATGAACAACTGACACGAATGGCCAAATAAAGTACTTACCCAGAATAAACTGATTTAGTTTCAGTTTCGCAATGACTACGTTGGGAAATGATCTTCCTTTTTGCTTGGTTGTGGGTGTGTTGATAACCAAGTTACTTATGTTAGTTATTCCGAAAATCTTAGGAGGTGTGGCACTGTGATTTCCTGATGGACCATATTACGATAGCGGAAACAGAAAAATAAAGGTTAAAAACGCGGTCACTCGAAAGCGCATTTTCCCCGCACAGAATCAGTAATAACTCGGCAAGGAAGTGACCAAACCTATTAAACTTTTGGCGTTCTGGTCTCTGGGCTACTACACCGTATAGGAAAGAAACCACAACAAAAAAAACCTTAACCTGGAAGCCTAGTAGTAGTACAGACGGACAGACGGACAAAGTGCAGACAATAGCGTTCATTTTCCTTTTGTAAAATGCGCTAAAAATTGTTAAAACTGTTTCTAGAATAGAAACATTTACCTACTCCATCGACCCCACCTACCCAACTATAAACAAATCTAACCTCTGCTTGTGATGCGTCATTCAAAGGTCTATAAAAATCGAAGTTAAACTTGAAGAGCAAATTTAATTAACAGTCGGTTCAGTTGTAGAAAAAATATTGTATATAATATTTGACTGATAGTCGCCTCGTCAAAATACCTTCAGTCTCAATGCGCGAAATTGAACTTCGCGCTCTTGTTATATAAATAACTATTATTATAATTGTTATGTGGTAGTACCTACCTACCTAATTATCGATTGTCACTATATTACAGAAATATTTTTTGAAATTATTTTACTTATAAACAGGGACAAATTGTCAAGGGGCGAGTTACATATAACGAGTAGTGCGAGAGCGCGCACGCCTTTTTTATATACTGGTACTACTACTAGAGCCGTTTTGAATACATATGGAACGGTACTACTGCAAGGGATGCGCTTTCACGACTGCGATATTCACTTTAGTGCTTATTATGTACTGTGTGTAATCCAAACTAGGATGGCTAAAGTGGTTCCAAGCCGGCGGGTTTAAGTATGCAGCTCTTTAGAAATCATCAGATATCCACCCCAATTGACGAGTAAAAAGGTTAACCGTATAAGAATTCCAGATCTTCCACATCGAAGAAAAAATTGTAAATAAAGGTTAGCTTTATGTATTTTGTCAAATTTACTCGATCCTTGGTTAAAGATAAATATTGATCCGTTGGACTATTTAGTACAGTAAACTCTTAAATGAAGGATCTTAAAGGAGTCGAAAAAATGTCATATTGTTTATTTTTAATGTGTGTGGCCATAGAGGAAATACAATGGTGTGGCAAAAAAGAACCTCCTGAATTTGATGTCAGTTTTAATTACATTTTCTTTTTCGAAATCAAAGGGATTCTATAAACCTCACGGTGAATGAAAAAGTAAAATCAAAGGTTTGATTAAAGTATAAACTTACTTATGTAAATTAGCTGCAATTCTAATATTGCGGTGATCTAAAGGTCAGGTCATTTCAAAGTAAATTTTAATTATCCCAAATTGTGACAGGTAGATTTATTAGTACCTAAGTGAAAAGTTATTGTAAAAAGGGAGAAGCACATTCCTAAACAACTCTTAACATTTTCTGATTTTCATTAATATACGTGATGTACCATATTGGTGTTATTATTTTTGCCGAACAGTAAAAAATAAAAAAAAAACCCATTTGCGACACAGTTTGAAAACTAAATTCGTTATTAAGATCCAGGATGTTCTATGATTTCTACAAATCTAAGCCCTTGTACCGATTGTGTACCTAAACAAAGATTACTTAAACCAAAGAGTAACTAATCAATTATTTAATTGACCTTTCTAATATATTCCTGAGGACAAAAATATTTCATTATACCTAGGTACTTCGCTTGCAGGCTTGATTTCTGAAATTGATTTCAACGTAGGTAAAATCCTCATTTGGAATTCCTACATAATACATGAAATTATGTAAAAGTTTAAATATACAGGAACTGAAACCTTTTTGTGTCAGTTATCCCTCTTGTATTTATGATATTGAAGACAAAATGTGCCATATGAGGTAGATCGATGCAATGAGAAAAATATTTATTTATTAACCTACGTAAATATGTATCAACCTTAAAAAGTTAACAAGTTGGTTTATTAAATGATAACGATAATTAAATAAGCTTTGATATGGTTATCAAAACACCTTAATTTGATTTTATTAAGAATAAAAATATGTAATAAAGGATAGCTACTTTGTAGTACCGTTGAGTGACCTAGATCCTTCACTCAACGGTAGTACCTAGAATAAATACGTAGGTATATAGGTAGGTAGACGCTTTAAGAAAATGTATGTAATAAAATTTGATATATAATTTATGAGAGCACACTACAAGTCTTCTCCATATAACGTTAATGGTATAATGAGCAAAGTTATAAATATTCATCTAAACCGAAGCGCAAAACATAAGCAGAAAACAAAGACTTCAAATTATTTCCAGGGGGTTGCAAAGCGTGTCACCAAGTGGGTGAATCTAATATAACAATCTTTTCACAGTCATAGCTGAAACCATAGTTATGCATACAGTCGCCGCAAAAGCGTTCAGAATGTGAAATTATAAAAAGCCACGCTCAAAGTTACCCTTGCCGCAAACGGCAGGGTAGCATTCTAATCTTGATAAAGGTGTATACATTGTGCAGAATATTATTTACCTAACAAACAAAGACATACTGACTCCACCCATTTCAGGCCACTGGTTAATGATAACATGATAGCGTGACAACCACGCCTAGAGTAAATGGTGGGAAATATAAGGGTAGAATTTAAGGGGTAAATGCTGAAACGTGTTGAAATTGATTTTATTAAGGTGGTACAAGTTTGAAAGCATTATTATAAAAATTGGCACTGTGGATATAAAGCGGACATTTTCTTATAACGAAACACTAATTTGTATACCTCGCGAATCCACCCTGATAGTAATACAGCATAAGTAAATGTTATGATACCTGCTAAAGTAGGCACTGAGATTTAGATTAGCTCATTATCTAAATTTAACGTTTTGGCTCCGGAAAAATAAACGAGGAAAATCAACATTACGTGTTTTGGTTAATACTGAGCAAATTCTCTCTAAGGTTTCTTATCACCCTATAGTAAATATTATATCAAAATTACAATCTTGTCTGTGCTCTCCTGCAAATTCAAACAACAAATATCTTGAAACGAGTTTTTATTTTTTCTTAAATAAAGAACTGCTGAAATCGACCCTTAACCGTAGTTCGGGATACCTATCACTCTGAAGATGCAATAAATAATAATTTAGAATCAAATTAATTTGTAATTATAATCCGTATACTTCAGCAGCCCAAACCCTTATAAATCCCAGAGTAGTAAACCTGATGTAAAAATGTGCAAATCCCAACAAGCTGATCCAGAATCCTGAATGTAGAGGGTGGAATGACTGGGGGTAAACGGGCGTGTCCTAACTTTAACCCCCCACTCTCACCACTTTGTTTTCATTCTAAGCTTGCCGGAAATGTGGTGGCTTGAACCATCATTGTTCTTGTCAAGATAATATTGGTATAACATTTCTAGAATACAGAGGTTGCAAACGTTATCCTCTTATCACCGATACTAATACTGATAAGACCCTAATAAAATATTATTTAACTCAATGGTAAAAGATACGAAATTTGTAAATGCAAACATGAAGTGTTTTCATAAATAATGATAAAGATTTATCAGGAAATGAAAATAAATTGGAAGTGCCGTTTTTTATTATTAGTAATCAATAACTGAAAGGTAATCAAAGTTGTATGCGTGAACAGTATACTTTTTCGCGGTTTAATCTTAATTATGCGAATAAACATTCATAAAGTTAAGTTCATTTCGAAATAACCGTGTGCGAATCCGTACTAAATTAAGAAGACGTCGAGCTTACACATCTAAATTGGAAGTTTTAATGTAGTGAAGAAGTGAGTGAGTTAATGTTAATAATGGACGATGGGTGCCGTCTTTTTGACCCACGTGATTTACACCAAACGGAGATGCTACTAGAACGATACCCCACGTCAGAAAGTCCACTAGATCTGCGTGGTCAACAGGGAAACCAAATAGAAGGTAATAAACAGAAAGATGATATTTATGGTAAAGAAAAAGCATCCCCGAAAAAATCTTCGAGTCTCATCAAACCGCCTTACTCCTACATTGCGTTGATTACAATGGCAATTTTACAATCGCCACACAAAAAACTAACGTTGAGCGGTATTTGCGAATTCATAATGACAAGATTTCACTATTACCGTGAGAAATTTCCCGCATGGCAAAATTCTATTCGGCACAATCTTTCGCTGAACGACTGCTTTATAAAGATACCACGTGAGCCTGGTAATCCAGGGAAAGGTAACTATTGGACTCTTGATCCTTTAGCAGAAGACATGTTTGATAACGGTAGCTTTCTGCGAAGGAGAAAGAGATACAAGCGACCATCACCGACGAATTTGCTACTGCGGGACCACCACAGCTCCGCAATGGTAGCCTCATTTTTAAATCAGGAAAACTACCAACACGGACTGTTTTCCCACCCGAGTTTACACAACCCATACTCATACATTCCCAGTTTGCCAACGAGTCTACCGAGCGGGCTGCCCTTTTTGCCTCCGTTGGATCTGGCCCGATTAGGTTTGGGACATTTAAATATCCTTCCCCAGCCGTCTATATGTAAGCCGGTTCCGGTACAACCTCCCAGTGTTACGCCGGTTTCCGACGTTGACGACATCACCAGTACCGAAATTTACAAAAAGGCGAAGAGTGGATTTTCGATAGAATCGCTTATCGGAAGTGAAGAGGACAAACAAAAACCTTTACATATTGTAAATATACGCTCTGAAAGTCCCGAACCGATTAATATGTCGCCAAAATTTGTACCGATTCATAATCAAGTTTCAGCGTTTTCTCCTTTGTCGTCATCAGATGATTGGACTAGGTGAAATTATTCCTGTGATGATTGAATCGGTAAAACTGTACGGGATCAGGCAAGTGTAAGTGATAGAGATGCTCCTTGATTTAATCCAAAGCCAAAGATATTAATTTTGTGATTACGAAGATGCAATATGTCGTAGAATTGTACAAATTATATTATAGAGTGTGTGTGCGTAAAATGTATTTAAATTATAGAGTGACTGTTAGAATTTCTCGTAATTTACAATCATTAACATTCCAAATCCTTTTAATTTTGAAGGAATATGCTAAATCAGTCTCAGGCGTATTTCTTGTGATCGCAGAGATTTCCTTTGTAAAACTTGTCGTTTTTTGTATGTTATAATTTTCATATTGAATATAAAAATGTACATAACTAATCATGTAGATTTGTAAAATGTTAGCATTACATTACAAATAGAAAATAAATTATTTCTGCGAAGACTACCTACTGAACATTTTGACGTTTTATTTCCTGCAACAATAGTAGAGCGTCGGAATAAAATTTCGACGTCGAGTAGTTACAGCTCCGTTTATTATCAATAAGAAGCGATAAATAATGTTACTCAATATAGTCATGTGTGGTTAATTTCAGAAGCTGGAACTCGATAGTCCGACGGTCCCTCCAGTCGATAACATCCAACTTGGGACACATTCCTCCGCTGCTATATCATATTTCACCTGAAATTGCATCTTAAAATTATGTATTCAAACATATCATCGTATCATTTAAATTTAATTCATGTTTTTCTTCGGAAAAATATACTACAGCAGTGTGCTTTCTGGTTTCGCATAAAGAAAACACGCACTGATAAATTCACCCGTCAAAACTTGCAGGATACTCACTTAAAAAAAATTCGCCTTCAAGGTAAATTTGCTCGCCGAGTGTTCATACCAGAAAAAAACCGAATTAGTTTTCCGCATTCTGAATTTTTTCAGACGTGGTGAGCAACTTTTTTTGAGATTAGTTGTTTCTGATGACGAATGTTTAAGGGCGAGTTTTTTTGTTCTATGGAGAATTTTTCAATTTTCGGAAGCCATCATTCCCAGACCATATTTTCATAGAAGTTGGCCAATATTCCGGAGATAAAATTGCAAAAATTGTTCAATTTTGCGTCTAAATCGATGAGAGGATGACCCATTTTAGCGTAGTGTAATTTAGAATCAACCCTTACTTTTTTTAACCTTTTGCACCTTCAATTCTAGTAACTTTTCTAGGGATTTTTGTCTAGTGTGATTTAGAATCGGACTTTTTTGCCATCTATTTCACATTCAATTCTACTAACTTTTCTAGGGATTTTCGCCTAGTGTGATTTAGAATCGGCCCTTTATCCATACTACCTATTAAGAATTATACTTAGGAAAAAGGATGAAATGGCTGAGTACTCTTAACAAAGAACAATGGAATTCTCCTCACCCGCTAGTACCTTACTAGCTTAGTTATTATTCTAGACATGATTTTTCAGCCAGAATATCATCAGGTAAACAATTACACCAATGTTATGAGGTAATACTCCCTAATTTTGTAAATATTTAAGACTCAATTCCAGGGCCGGATAAACCATAAGGCGAAATGGGCGATCGCCAATGCGAATGAGGGCTAAATTCCTAATTATCAAACAATATATAAACCCGGCTCTGAAGCTGCCTATGCAAACATTTTAGAGTTGTTCGGATTTTATTTACAACGAAGAAATAAAAATAAAAATGATTTAGATCAAATTACGTTCCTGATGAGTGCCTACAATTTAAATATTTTATTAATAGTGACCATAAGTTTCAGGGAAAATCAATGTTAAACTACAAAAAGGTATTAAAAATGTTGTAGTCGGAAAAACTATAACCTCTACTTTTCCGTCGACTTTTCCCAACATGGATATCGCTGTACGAATATTCCTTTGTCTTCTAGCAACGAATGCGGCAGGTGAAAAGTCGTGTTCTTGTGCTTTACTCTTAAAAGAATTAAAAATTATTTGAGAAACTGTTTGAAAAATAATAAATCAGCGACTTAGCATTATCAAATATTTCTTTGGACAAACATTCTATAATAGAAAGATTTATTGGTTTTAAAGATTAAAACGTTCACGAAATTTTTAATGTGGTTTATGTTTGTCTAAATGTTGTTTATTTATCCTATGCCTAAATAAGATTTTATTTTCTGATAAAATGTCTTTCGGTTAGTTTTAAAAAAATGAAAATGTTTCTTAAATTTCGCGGATATATATCTCTATCCAACATACATTTTTTGGAGGGGGGGGGGAGAGGATTTTATTTGCCCAGGGCGAAAAATGTCTTAATCCGGCTCTGCTGAATTCACATTCACAAAAGATAAATATTTTTTAACGATATTAAGAGAAAAGTGAATCTGCAAGTATTAAAAATGGGAGATAATCGCTAGAAATCGAGGTTAGTTTTTGAATAGAGGAAAATGACGCCTGACATATTTACATGCGCACCAAAATTGCTGTGAAAAAAGTAAAACATACATATACTTTTCTAAGTTAGTTATACGATTATGTTAGGTAAAAAAAACGTTTTATTGGTGTCTCCTAGTATAAAAATAGTTGATGCCTTATCCTTATTAAAGGAATGTGCACTTGTGTCAAAATAAATGTCTGCAGCTTTAATTTCACAGAATTATTTAAATTTTAAAGAATATAATTGATTTAATTCATAATATTATTTAATTTCTTTGAGGGACATCCTAATTGAAATTTGGTTTCTATTGACGGTGCTTATAAAATGATGGTGATAGTACATACAGCTCAGAGTAGAGTTAAAATTGTAAACATTAATTAGAAACGAGTTGAAATTTTGAGTATGATATACCTACATTTAATGGGGCTTAAAATACTCTATAAAAACCTCTCGTCCAAAACATTATATGCCTATAAAGAAAATAGGCAGCACTACTGATGGGAATAAGCGATCATTCTTCTATGGTTGTGGTTGCCGATAAAAAATTAGAACAGAAACGTACCTTTGGGGGCTTCGGAGGTAGACGATGCATAGTTTAGGGGGAGGGATGAATATCCCAATACCACCATGTAAATGGTGATTAACTTAATTAATGGTGTACCATTTTTTAAGGGAAACTTCAACCTATGGTATAGTTTTATGATTTGTGAGTCAATTAATTCCCAAATTTTGTGCAGCCTTCCATACAAAGTTGCAACATAATAGTTGGGTGAATTAGAGGAGGAAGAGAATACCGCCAGCGTAAAAAAACTAAAATAAAAAGGGGGAAAGTAGGTACTAACATCACCAGTGATACAGCATCAGCCATTCAAGTCAAACAAACAAATTCTGCAGCTTTAGTAGATGAATCAAACACAACTGACAATGCAAACAGTGGCAATAAAGATAACATAATTAAAATACCTAAACCTCCTCCAATCTTTGTGCAGGAAGTTACTACCAATTTTTGATAAAAAGCATAAAACATATTATGGAAGAAAAATAATTTACAACCAAAAGTATGACGGATAACATAATAAATAAAATAAATAAATTTCCGTAATCCAGATGTGTACAGAAAACTCGTAAAACATTTTCAAGAAAACAACTCCAGTGACTGACAAAAATACAATACCTAGCTACCCATAAACATGAAGTTAGAAATATAATTAATCTAAATAACATAGGCAAACTAAGGAACTATTTCTTGGATTGGAACCATATGAAAAACTTCCTGCAAAATGTAAAAATCTCTGTAGAACCACCTAATAGAAACACAAACCTGGTACAATGCACAAGATATAATCACACCAAACCATACTGCAACAGACCATACGCCTGCATTCAATGTGGTGGATCTCATAACACCACAGCATACAAAAAACCGATTGATACTCCCGCTAACTGTGCTTTATGCAATGAGGCGCATTCGGCCAACTATAAAATGAGCTCAATTTATCAATTACAAAACAAAACCAAACATAAAGCACGGCCCCAAAAAATTGCTCTACCTACCTCTTTTAAATTAGAACCGCACTTTGCCCGCTAAGAACTTTTGGAACCCACCAAACCAACTGTGAACAAATGAACAACAATAAATCAGAATTTTCCACAGATCCAACCCTTGCCCAATTCCTAGAAGGGTTTAAGAATATACCTGAATCAACACCTAGAAAACAACATACGCTTAAAAACAATTGAGGAGAAGTTAATAAATTCGTAATCACCACACAAGAAGCAGCGTGGTACGCTACGCCTCAATCACAAGGGGAAAGTTCGAATTCGCAAAATATCCCACAAAAGGTAGATATTTGAAATTGGTGAGGGGAAAAAAAGCTAGAGCGATTTGGCAACGTACACACAACCGCTACGATAAAACCAATAAACGGAAATTAAAGGAAGCAAAAAATGAAACCTTTCGACAATATGTAACATCTCTTTTCAGAGATTACTACTACTACTGGAGTGCCACACAAGAGACCACAGACGCAAATACCGCCAATACGGGGACACCTGATGATTCGGGGGCCAAATCTGAACACGAAAAATCTGACAGGAGTATTTATGCCCAGAAATATCTTTCCTGAGGCTCCACTACAACTTTCACCTCCATTACGAGATCTTATAATTGCTGGATTACGTCAGGAAATAAAATTAAACAACAAAAAAGCACCAGGCTACGACCTCATAACATGGGCCTATTGCCCGAAAAAGTAACTAGCGTTATTTAACTCAATACTGCGTTTGATACATTGGCCTTCACAACTAAAGGTCGCGCAGATAAAAATAATTTTGAAACCAGGAAACGGCAAATGCGACTCAGTCATACAGACCAATCGGTTTACTACCAATAGTTTCCAAACTCCAAAAAAAACATTTAAGTGCGCACCCTGTGCTCAATTAAATAAGTGTAACGTGGAATTGCACTTTGAATCATCGTCCACCATTGCGGCAATTAACGGGAAGAAAATATGCTTTCTCACAATATATAGACCGCCGAACGGAAATGTTGAATTGTTCTTCACCAATATAGCTTATCTCTTAAGTATTGCTAATACAGTTAGTGATTACACTATTCTGTGTGGCGACTTCAACATAAATTTGTTTTCGTGTTCCATTGAAACCAGGATGCTTTTAGACTTATTTGATTCTTTTAATCTAACAAATAAAAACAGTACTGCTACAAGAATTCATGTTAATATTAACAATGTAATCTCGAAATCGGCGATAGATTATTTGGTAACTTCGATCCCCACCAATTATTATGCCTATACAACAACTAATCTACACTTATCCGATCACTTTGCTAATGTGATCGTGATATCACAGCATTTTCTTGCGCAAAGTAATGACAAAAAAGAGACC